ATTTGTCCTTTTAGTATAGCTTCTTCACAAAATTGAGTTCCTTTTAGTAAATGATTTAATATCGATGATATCAAGTTTTTCTTTCGCTTTTTTGTCGCACTATCTCCAAATACCCAGAGTAACCATTGCAATTCTGAAACTAAAAAAATTCTTGAAAATACTTCCTCAGCACCATCTAACTGTGCCCAAATTTGAAGCTACTTCAAGCCAAGTAAAGGGTCCGTTGGAATGTTAGTCTTCTTTATTAGCGTAAGTTTTTTATCAATCTTGGGTAAGGTTTGGGCATCATTATTCATGCCTTTAAGATTTTCTCAAAGGCTTGAAGATCCTTTTTCAGGAATAAAATTATTAAAGCTTCACCAGGACTTTTGTCTACTTCTTATATAAATATATACAATTCATTTGTAAAGAAACATTCTAACATCATCTTTTAATTCTTGTTTTTCAGCCATCACATGTTGACAACTGCTAGCAATATCAAGTAGCATGTTGAAAGATCGCAATATTATAAGTTGCAAAGCAAGCTATTGCATATGTATTCAAAAATATTAGGCTCATATTCATTATGCTTTTCGAATAATAAAAGTATTAATGACTCTATCTTATAAAAAAACTCAAGAAATTCTTGGCCAGGAATCATGTTCATTGTTTAAGATCGAATATGTCGCTCATAAACTACCTTCTCCGAGCTTAAAACTTCCAAGTGAGCACGAATAGAATTGAATTGAGGGTGCGATTGTGTTAAGTCATCACTTTTAATAAGCTTGTAAATAACCCATCCAACGATATAGGAGAATTTTGATGCTTCTGTTAGTTCCAAGACAATAATATTTTTAATCATCAAATGACAGTCTGCTGAAAGTTTATTTTGTTCAATTTTAATAGTTTTTCTTTTAAATGTTTGGGCAATTACCTGTTGTAACAACAAGTATACAACAAGCCGCTGAACCGAATAAGAACTATGTGATTTAGCTGCTACTAAAAAGTTCTGATACCAATTACCTGAACACTGGTAATTATTTAAACGAAGTTCAAGACGTAAACTCTAGTTGGCTAACCATTGAACTCCTATTTTCTTTGGAACAGCTTCGAAAACCATTGTTCTAATAATATTTTGCCATTTTTGCAACAGGTGATCAATAGAATCTTGATAAAGAATAGCTTCTATAAGATTGCATCGCTCTATTTGAAGATAAAAAGCTTTCATATTTTCATCGTTTACATTGCTATTGCATGATTCTAATGAAAAATTAATTCTTCCCATAATCAAATCATCAGCAAGAAGATTTTCAAAAATATGTCATGAAAGTGGTGATAATTGTGACAAACGAATACTATGTTTTTCATATATATAATGAGGGTTTTCATTATTAATTGGGCATTTTTTATCTTTACGATAATCCCTAATTTTGAATTTGTTTTAAGTAATAATTCTTTGAGATATACAATTATTAATATGTCATACCTTCGTGTCAAAGTGTTAATACCAATTCCAGTTCCATCAGCTTCCCCATAATTAATACTTTTTAATTTTGATGAAACTAATGCAGTCACTTGATATTTGTTTAAGGAGTGTCTATAAGATTTAAGTGTTTGTGTAGAAGAATCTCCACCAAGCTGACGAATTGTACCAAAGAGTCCCTTAAACATATCTTGTGAAATGCACCTTGGTTGAATAACTGAGCCTGGGTACTTTCTTAAAAAAAATGTTAGTATTTCAAGAAAACCATCAATAGACAAAATTAGATCAAATTGACATTGGGATGAGATCCATTGTGTTGGTTTAGTTTT